TTGCTTATTGGGGGGAAAAATGTAAGACCAAAAACTCCCGAGGGCGCCGCCGGACTCGCCGGAGGCGACAAATTTCCTCACGTGCCACGCCCAAAAAAGTTTGTTTTAGGCCGTGATTCTGTTGGAGCTGTGATAAGCGATAAAAGCAACGATACTAATGATACTTTACATTAGTATCGTTGCTCTTATCGTTTATCACAGCTCCAACATAATCCCGGCCTTAGCCTTCAAAAACATTTTTTTTTTTCGTGTGCCGGGTGCCACGCCGAAAAACATTTATGTATTTTAAACCCTACCAGATATAATGTGTGTACATGCCGTTAACTTACAACATGCTGCCTACGTCACAACTGGTGATTTGGCTTGGGGAGGAGAGGGGAGGATTTGTTTCACACAGGCCTTATGAGAATAGGCCATCCTGGTAGTAGAATAGTAGTGTGTATCATCCTTGGTGGCGTACAGATTAGTAGAGTGTACTGAGTGTAGAGTATGGAAATATGTATATCAGTGGTATGTAGGTACACAGTAAGTACATTGTACTTACACTCAGTACAAATTTACTGAAATGAAACCCCAAATTTAGAATATTTGGTGACCTATTTATCGATTGAAAAATTGTGACAGATATATTCTAGAAATCATAATGTGCATATCTAGAGATTGGGGTGCATAATGTGCATATAAATTGAAAGTGTGCATCAATATGCACAATTGTGCAGTTTGGAACATCCCTGCTGGGGAAATCAGGACGGATGACAGCCCCACCGAGCCCCACCCAACCCATAAGTTTTTTTCAAGTGACTCCGGTTTAACTAACCGGGTTACAAAACGGTTTAGAGAAATGACATACCGTTTTCTAACCCGGTTACAAAGTGACGTGATGGATACCGTTGTTAAACCGGAGCCACGTGAAAAGGGTTATAGTTTAATAAACAAATCTAAAGCCGCGTCCACATTGGTAAAAATTTACGTTGTGCGTGTCATTCGGCACAAATTTTTGCGATACAAATTTATGCGAGTGTGGACCTGTTCGCCGCATACGAACGCACGCAAAAATTTTCGCGGCATTCACCGCACGCGATCCGCGGCTGGTCGGTTTTTTCAAGACACCAAAGGGATTTGCGGCGTAACATCGTTCTAGTGTGAGTGTGGATGCATTTTTTGGCGATCGGAACAAATAACCAAAAACAAGCGACGCGTACTCTGAAATAAAATAGGCAGATACACGCGTTGAGCAAGAACGCACGGCGCACAAGCAGTGGCGCATCCAGAGTGTGTGTCTGGGGGGGTAAACAAAAATCCGGTACAGGCCCCGCAACATAAGGTGGCGAAAAAGCAATTTGCGCACTAGACAAAATTCGGAAATGGTAGGGGCGTAAACTGAACTGTAAACCCTACCCTCGATAAACGGATGGGGAACAGTGGCGTGTAGGTACAATACAATAATTTATTTGTAATGTCAATATCGTCATACCAATTAGCGACGCTCCTGATAATGGAAAAGGTTTGTATTTTAGCTTTGCCTGGGCCAAGAAAAGGGACCCACCGCTACGCCTACCTGCGCCAGCTCTCGCCACCTTATGTTGCGGGGCCTGTACACGCGCTTACTTACCGCCGCGCCGCGCCGGAGGCAGCTTGCCGCAGACTCCCCGAATTTTTTTTGGAGACGTCAGGCCCAAATTATTACCTTCCAAAAATCGATGTTGGGAAAACATCGATGTTTTTCTATCAATATTTTCTTAACATCGATATCAGCTTTCGATGTTTTATCGATACCGATACATCGATGTTATCAGTTGGATGGGCATCCCTAGTTGTTAAATGTGTGGTAGGTAAGGGCCGAATTTATATTTGTTCCTTGGGTCTTCCTTGAAGGTCGTGAGTTAAGAGTGGACACTTGCTACTATGTGACAAGTTAGTCATATATCAATTCTAAACGTTCAAGGCCTCCTTGAGGTCTGAGGATTCTGAGGAAACCTAAAGGAGCAACTATAAATTCGGCCCTAAGGGCCGGTTTCTCAATAGCAAGTCACCTCCAGGTTAAGCATAACTCCATTGAAACTGGACACGTAAGGGCAGGATTCTCGATAGCGAGTCACCGGGTTAATTTCAACTCTAGGGTCAGCGTGTCCAGTTGCTTTGTTTACCTTGGAGTTATGTTTAACCCCTTATTTAACCCGGGGGTGTCCTGCTATTGAGAAACCGGCCCTAAGACACTATTACCCTGGTCGAGTTGGTTTTTGTCATCTTTTTCGTCAATTTGCTTCGAATTTTTGACAGGCACGTGACTGGATAAGATAGTTTCAATTTACAAATCACATGCCTGTCAAAATTTCGGAGCAAATCGACGAAAAAGATAACAAAAACGAACTTGGTCCCTGGAGTTAAAACCAACCCAGAGGCAAATCGCTATTGAAACCGACCCTAAGTGGCGCGGCACCGAGTGACAGACATTTAACGTCGATGACGAAGACAAAAGTAAAAAAGCGCTGCTGCCTTAGAGCAGGTAAGCGCTGTCCTACGGACATAAGGAGTAGGAACGCGCCATTCTGCTTATGAAACTAATGGCGTTTCCGATTGGTAGATTCAGTGCGCACTGAGTGTATTTGCATCCTTTTAATCGACTTGTAGAAGAAGAAGACACAAATAGAAAAAATTGCACTAGTTCCGCACTAGATCTACCAATCGGAAACGCCATAAAGTGAAGCCAAGTTTTTGGCAGGTGTTTGGCACCAAGATACAGGTAAAGCATTGAATTGTCTATTCCGCCATTTTTTTGGTGCAAAAATACCTGCCTTTTAGGCGGTTACACACGGACGTGGATGTCTGAAAACATGTACGCTCATACATGAACGCTCAAACAAAAACATCAATGTGTATGCAAAATACCGTCGCGTTTGTTGAATGTGCAATTTTGTATGCACACTCAGAATACTGTGGCAAGAATAGCAAGACTGCAGTTTTGTGCGAGCGTCTGTACAAAGGCGCCATGCACGTTGTTGTTTGCACGTTGATGTATGCACGTATATGTATTAAGCCATCCACGTCCGTGTGTAACCGCCTTTTATGTTTTCGTTTGCGCGTTCATGAATGTACGTACATGTTTTCAGATATCCACGTTCATGTGTAACCGCCTTAACGGACAATTAGATTCGACTCATAGAATAGAATTCGGCAGCCGACCAAATATATTAACTACACTCCATTATTGTCCACTTTCCGAAGGATCTCGCACAAATCTTATTAAAATTGGATTTATGTCAAATGCGCTGCATTTTTCATATTTTGTAGAAGCCATGGGTCCTTATCAAAAGTTACCATTGCGCTAAATTCGAAAAACGGATAGTTTTTGAGAATATGCATGTTAAAAAAATGCGTAAAATCTTTTTTTTTTATTAGATAAAAGTCAAAATGACAATAGGTCTGTTTCTGCAGAAATCACAAACCAGTCAGAGCGAATTTCATTGGTTGAAAACAGTCAGAAACAATCAGAAAACTAGTTTCAACCAATAAAATTGTCTCTGGGTGGTTTGTGATTTCTGCAGAAACAGACCTATTATGTTGGCAATACAATATTAAGCTGGGTTCGGCTATTCAGCGCGGAGTTGGAGTGGAGTGAACAGAGCTAATGGAGTCACCCCTAATACGGTAAAAAGCAATACCCGAACCTTAACCCGAACGGCTGGAGTGCGAATAGAGTCACTCGGAGTGAGCAAGCCGAACCCACCTTAAATTGTCAATGCTTTCAAATTTTTTTTGTAGAAAAGGCTTGTGTTGCCAACATAAACCGAATTTTCGCGACGAATGTAGTTCATCAATAGTACATTTGTGACGTCATGAGTTTGAACGCTGGCTTGAAGTTGCGTCCGGCTAACTACGTTTAATATGACGTCATGAGTTTCTCACGAAAGCGTTTGAGATCATGGAATCATGGAAGTAGTTCTTCGCAAAAATTCGGTTATAGTTACTGAATTTTTGAGTAAGGGAATTATCTTTAAAAAAAAAAGACATTTTTATCATTCATAATCATAAACCGGTTAGCGGTGTTTCGGAACGTGATGTTCAGGTGAGTCGGTAGAGTCTCTGATTGCACTGGGACGAGTTCAGGAATGACACTCAGAGTGACTTTAACACCGGTGCGACGCTCTAGCCGTTCATGGTTGTATTCCTTTCAAGAACTTTGAACATTTGTGTTACTTGCTCCGGTGTTAGTCGACCCCGATTTCAAAGGAACAGATGCGCTGGGAAATAAGCGCGTGACGCTCCGGAGCTGTTCCGGAGCTCCTACATGGTGTGAAAGGAATACAAGTAAAATCTGTTTTTTTTTTTTTAAAGATGAAAGTCTAAATGACATTATGTTGGCAATACAATCCGTGCGTTCGTTATTTTGGTCTGAGTTCTCCGAGCATGACTTTACCGTTCGTTTATTTAAAAAGTGTACTCGGTGCAGCCTCATTCGCGTTCGTTTATTAAAATTTCTGGCACTTTTATATAGCCTTCAACTGCTCTGTTCCCTCGCTGGTCACGTGATTACGGCTCCACTCAGCACGCTCTGCTCTTCGAGCAAAATACCGAACGCAAGGAATGTAAAATTATCAATGCTTTCAAATTTTTTATGTAGAAAAGGCTTGTGCTGCCAACAGAGTTACTAAATTTTTGACTTGGGGAATTTATCTTTAAAAAAAAAACATCCCCCGGATTCTATTTTACGAGTCGAATCGGATTGACTCGATATCGAATACGACAGCTCCGGACCTACCGTGTAATACGTATCGAAAAATCGAAAAATAGAATCGCTATTTTGACAATTCGATACGAATTTCGACTCGACTCGTAAACATAATGTGATTTTGACTTTTATCTTTAAAGAAAATACACTTTACATTTTGGAACAGTTTGGTGAGTAAACCGTAAACTAATAAACCGGTATCGCACCTATTTAGAAACCGGTGAATTTTGGGAAGTGCCCATTGCCATTGTCCATTGTCATTTCTGTCATCTTCCTCCTTCCTCCTACTGCCTGTTTTTTTGTGTATTTTAATTTGTGGATAGTCATCATTTCTTTTTTTGGACTTTTTTCAACTTTTTACCTTTGTACGAATTGTACCTTGTGTGAACGAACTAGTTAGAGTGTGGATGTAATTTTGGTCATTTTTGGTGACCATCCTGCTCTATCAAAATCGCTAAGTATTGTTCTCACTAAAAACGAAAAAGAAGACAAATTAAAAATAGGTAAGTACCTTATACCTTATTACCTTGAAAGTGGCCTTAGGGACGGTTAAGCAAACTCTCAGGGCCAGTTTCTCAATAGTGAGTCACTTCTGGGTTGGTTTTAACTCCAGAGTAAGCGTGTCGAGTTGCAATGTTTACCCTGGGAGTTATGCTTAACCTGGGTTGCCTGGGGGTGACTTGCTATTGAGAAACCGGCCCTCACTACATTATGCATAATTTTTATAATGCGGAATTTATAAAAATTTACATTTGGCACATAATATATGTGCATTCATCTATTCATTCATCAAAATGGTTACTAATTTGTTAGCTAACCTTTAAGTTGAGCACCTAGGTTCTAATCAAATCAAATCAAAAAAGCTTTATTGTCCAAAAAATTATGCAAATTCCATTGACAAAGCAAAAAAAAAAAAGTCTAAAATTAATTTCCTATATCCTAAAAATGTATACTCAGTTAAAATTTAGATGTCAGTGTTGAGAGTAAAAATAAGACAAAAAACTAGAAAGACAAGCAATAAAATAACAGTGAGAATTCTATATACAATCAACAACACCTGAACAGTTTACAATACATAAATAAAAGAACATTATCATGGGCTAGATTTGATAGCGTCCAGATACCTAAGCAAATCCAACACAGAACCGACGAGTTAGCGCGGGATGGTAGCAAAATTTCTAAAAAACAATCATCACAATAAATAAAGTCAAACACTACATGAATCAGTTAAAGCCTATTAAAAATAAATAATTTAGTAATTGAAAAATTGAAAATATCACAGTTTAAGAATCACAGTAAAAGATTAGTCTGAGTAGAATTCCCCAAGACTGTAATAGGCTTTGGTTTCCAGAAATCTCTTTAAAGTTTTTCTAAATTGTCCATAGTCCTCCACACCCTTTATTTCGTCTGGCAGCTTGTTGAAGATCTTTATGCTCTCATATATAATAGAATTTTTCGTTAAGGCAAATTTCGGAATGGGTAATGGAAAATTTTGGTTGCGTAGGTTGTAACCAGTGTCTCTCACTGTATCATTATTTTTAAATTTTTTAAATATTAGACAGGCCGTTTCCAAAAGGAATATGCAGGGAACTGTCAAAATTCTTTCCCGTTTAAAAAGTGGTCTGCAGCTCTGTCCGTATCCTGCATGGCAAATATATCTTACTGCTCTTTTTTGTAGTACAAACACCGATTGGATAGAGTTTTGAGTGGAAAACCCCCAGAATGCTATTCCATAGCGAAGATGCGATTCGATCAGTGCATGATATGTTGTTTTCGCGGCAGGCTTACCCAGTTCATGTGCTATAGATTTAACTATATAACACCCTTGTGAAAGTTTTTTATTCAATAAATCTATGTGTTTGTCGAATCGCAGCTTCGAATCTATGTGCAATCCAAGAAATTTAGCTGTTTCTTTCTCTGCGATAACATTTTCATCTAGTGAAATATTTTCAATGCTACATTTAAATGTTACAATACTTGTTTTCGACACATTAAACACCAGACGATTACAAGCACACCACTCCTTAACCAACAGCAATTCCCTTTCCATAATTTCCGCAAGAACTGCGGCGCTTTTGTTTTTCCATAGAATGGTCGTATCGTCGCAGAAAATCACAAAAAGACCCCCAATGGGCAGGTCCGCTAAGTCGTTTATATAGACTAAGAAAAGTATTGGTCCAAGTACAGATCCCTGAGGTACACCATAAGTTATTCTTTTTCTTTCAGAGTCTTTGTTTTGTGCTCTAACGAACTGACTTCTTCCCTCAAGGTACGACCCGAACCAATCCAATTCCTTCCCCCTAATACCATAGTGATCAAGCTTCCTCAGCAGTATCCCGTGATCCACGCAGTCAAACGCCTTAGAGAAATCACAGAATACTGCCGCGGCCCTTTCTCCATCATTTAATCCCAGAAAAAGATTTTCAAGAAACATAAAAATGGCATCGTGCGTTCCTTTCTTTTCCTGGAAACCAAACTGCTCTGGATGCAATATGTTGTTTCCCTTCAAATACTCCAAGAGCTTAATCTTAACAATCTTCTCGACTATCTTTGATAGAGTTGTCAGCAGAGAAATCGGGCGATAGCTAGAGGGGTCTGTTTCGTCGCCTCCCTTAAAAACTGGAATAATCACGGCAAGTTTTAAACAGTCCGGAAACATTCCCGCTGTGAAAGACTGATTTATACACTCAGTAAGACTATTAAGTGCTGCTTCAGGGAGATTCTTAAAGATTTTCATAGATAGACCATCAACGCCCGAGGAATTCTGTTTTTTCATATCGGTAATTATGTTTTTCAGTTCATCCACATTTGTTGGTGTCAAATGAAAACACTCTTTGACTGAAAATGGCGTCAAGAAGGTAACCGGATCACGATTTATTTTTAAGTCTTTCGTTAGATTACCTGCTATGGAACAGTAAAAGTTACTAAGTTCCTCTGGTTCAATTTGTATTTTGTTTGTAGATTTATTGGTTTTTCCACGAAGTTCGTTGATTATTCTCCAATACTCCCTAACAGCATTATTTGCATCGTTAACGCGCTCACGGTAATATTGCCTTTTTGCTACCCTAATTAATTTTTTATAAATTTTTCGGTAAAGATTGAAATAATTATTGAACCACTCCGAATTTATGAATTTCCTAACAGTATGAAGAGATCGAAGATTTCGTCCAGAAACCTTCAAACCCCGTGTTATCCATACCTTTCTAGCCTTGGTCTTCATTTTTCTAAGAGGAAAACTTTGATTGAAAATACTCTGTACAGACTTCTGAAAGTCTTCGAAAGGATTGCTGCTGCTCCGAATATTTTCCCAATTTATATTATGGGCCAACTGTCTGAACGCATTAAAATTATTTGTGCTAAACACTCTACCTACTTTTGCTACCCTCCCGCGCTCATCGCCGTACACCAAAATTTCCACCGAAAGCGCTTCGTGGTCTGAAATGCCAGAAGGAATAACATCACACCTAACATCACTTTCTTCAATGTTACTACATACATAGTCAATAATCGTTTCAGAGTGATCCGTAATACGTGTCGGTTCATTGATAAATACTTTAAGGTTATAGCACGTCAATAAATTTAATAAACCTTTAGTGTCTTTAGACTCTTGATCGCTATAATCTATATTCAAATCCCCAGCCAATATGATCTTGGCCGAAATGGGAAACTTGGACAAAAGTAACTCCAACGATTGCAGAAAATCTAACGGCTTTCCGGAAGGCGGTCTATAGACACAAAGTAAAAGTCAAAGTCAAAGTCAAAAAATGCTTTATTGTCTAAGAACAAAATTCTCGTTGACAAAGCTGTAAAAGGGGAAAAAAAAAAACATTATACAAAAATAATTCCAGGGCCATAGAGTACCAAGATTGAAATAATCAAAATAAAAATACAATACAAGGTCAGACTAAAACAATAAAATCATTTAAACAGTCATTAAAACAAAAGATGAAGTCACTTTAAAAATCAACATAAATATAAACATAAATCAACATAAATACAAAAACATGTTCATTCTAAAATATAAAATACAAAATATCAAAATTGCACAAACGTAAAGTCAACAGACATAGAAGTCATTGAATAAAACTACAAATTATATTCAGACAGTCACAAGAAAGCATCTTGGAAAAATTCTTCTGTGCTATAGTAGGCCTTTGATAATAGAAGCCTCTTAAGATGTACTCTAAATTTTTTACCAGATACTATCTGTCTCAGATGCAGTGGCAAATGGTTAAAGATCTTTTTACTTTGATAGATTATCGAGTTTTTTGTTTGTGTGGAGGAAGGGATAGGAAGGTTCACATTGTGTGTTTGTCGAGTGGTATGTACAGATGAAAATTCGTGTATGTTTTCCTTAAACTTTTTATGAACGAGACATGAAGTCTCTAGTAAAAAAATACTAGGAAATGTAAGCAATTTATGACGCAAAAACAATGGTCTACATGAGTCTCGTAATCCTATCTTAAACATATACCTTACCGCCCTCTTTTGCAACACAAACAACATATTAAAGAGAGACAATGAACAAAAACCCCAGAAACATATTCCATACCGCAAATGGGATTCAACGAGAGCAAAGTATGCACTTTTTGTTGTCCCAAGATCTAGCTTACTCGATATTACTCTGATTGCATAACATCCTGATGACACCTTTTTGCTCATGTATGTTAAGTGAGGCTCAAATTTTAGTCTATCGTCTATGTATACTCCTAAAAACTTACTCGATTTTTGACTGGCAACAGTATCTGCCCCTAAGGTAATTCCCTCAAAACCACATTTAAATGTTAACACATTTGTCTTCGACACATTAAAAGTTAAACAATTCGCATCAGTCCATTCTTTTACCTTAACTAAATCATTATTGATATCTGATTTAAGCTGTTCTACATCCTTATTTACCCAGAGAATCGTGGCATCATCGGCAAACAGTGTAAATACCCCAACTATATCAATGCTAGACAGATCGTTGATGTACAATAAAAATAATAGAGGTCCCAAAACAGATCCTTGTGGAACTCCTGCACTTATAGCCAGTTGTTCTGAATCAACACCATCAAAAGTAACTCTCTGTGCCCGTTCAGAAAAGTAGGACTCAAACCACTTTAGAGCTACCCCCCTCACCCCATAGGCTTCCAGCTTACATAACATTATTTTATGATTGACACAGTCAAAGGCCTTTGACAAATCACAAAAAACCGCTAATGTTCAATTTCTTAATTTGTACAACAGAGAATTCAAATTCATTTGGTTTAATAAGAAAGTTATAGCCGTCCAAACTCTCAACATCACTAAAAAAGTTGTCATTCACCAATATCATTGTTCCTCCGTATCCATTACATCTGCAGTATCTAGACGCTACCTTGTACTGTGAAACATGACATAACTCGCGCTCCTTAAGCCAATGCTCGGTCAACAAAACAAAAGAAGGCATATTCAAATCATTCAATAAAATAGCTAGTTCATCTAATTTCTCTCGTGATGATTGAATATTCAATAAAAATAG